AGGGTTCATGGGGGAGGGGGGAGCTGGGAGGGGAAATACGAGGAGCTGATGCCAGGGGCTTAGGTGGAGAGCAAATGTTTTGAGAATGATGAGGTCAATGAATGTACAAATGTGCTTTACACAATTGATGTATGTATGAATTGTGATAAGAGTTGTATGAGGCCCTAATAAAATGATATAAAAATACCCTTTATTTACTTTGTCATTGTCTTCATTACAAGTTGATGTGTCTGGTTCCCTGGTTTCAGTATTGTAAGTTTGTTGTACATTAGTTACTTCTATATCTAGGTTGATGTCTAGGTAGTGTTGTCATGTATGTTAATCTCAGGTTGTTTACTGTTCGTGATCATCAAAGAGCTGTCCTTAGTATTTCTTGTAAGGCTGGGCTCACAAAACTCACTGCCATGGAGTCCCTTCTGACTCATAGCGACTCTATAGGACAGAGTAGAACTGCTGACTCATAGCGACTCCATAGGATATAGTAGAACTGTTTCGGTGGGTTTCTGCGACTGTAATACTTTATGGGAGTAGACTGCCCTGTCTTTCTCTTGTGGAGCAGCTGGTGGTTTAGAACTTGTGTATCACAGCCCAACACATAACTACTATACTTAAAAAAAATTCTTTTAGTTTCTGTTTATCTGGAAAAATCACGATTTTGCCATAATATCTGAGGAACAATTTTGTATATGATTCTTGGTAATTTTATGTTTTGGAGTTTCACATATTTATTTTATTGCTTCCATAATTCCTGCTAAGTAAGTGAGACTTCTAAGTCTCAATTTGGTTTTTTTTGTCCTTAAAGTAAATATGTTCCAGTTATTACTATATCTTAAAGGTCCTTCTTTTTGTCTTGTGATTTTTTATAAGGAACTGCAACATTAGAATTGAAACAGAAGTAAAATATACGTGGGAGGTTTAGATCGAACTTCTTTCACAGCGGTCCCTTTTCTTCACTATCATCACTTAACTTCTCCGAAGTAATATGTCTTTAAACACAGATTTAAGGAACAAACCACACTTCAGCAAAGGCTTACTCATGTATATTATATTTCAGTCATAACCAGGTTGTTGTTGCTGTTTCAAGAACAAAGATCCCACTGTAATATAAAAATCACTGGAGACATAGTCTTGATATTTCTCTGAACATATCAAAGAAAAGCTAAAAGTATTAAATATTAATGAAGCTTATAATGAACTTTCATCCATAAATGTTTATTGTAGAGGAAAATCTCATGCACTCATATACATATACATAAATACATGAAATTCTTAAAACAGTTTAGAACCTGCCCATTTAGATTTTTTTAAATCCATTGTAAATTTTGATCTCAGTAATAAGCATGTGAAAAACGAATTTTCTCATTCTCCAGTTACTTTATAATTGCTCCGGTTCATATAGGGGAGAGTCAATTTTCTGACTTGTAAGGAAGGGTGATATAGGAAGAAAAATCCCTACGGAAACCTCAATGACCAACAAATAACTCCACCACTCTCTCTTCGGGACCTGGGGCAGCAGGAGTAGAAAATTAGCAAAATGGCCTTTAACCAGGTTTATCTTCCTCACGTTCCAGATTGTGCATTACGTAGGCCCTTTAAGGCCATTTGGCTGAATCTAGGAGTTGCACATTCACTTCTGGAAGAAATGATCTTTTTTGTCTGGTCAGTGACTACTACCAAGGAAAAGGAAGAAAGTACAGTTTGTATAACTTTTAGGGTATCTTCAATTCTTTTCCAATGACATGGCTAGGGATACATCAATGATTATAAATGAATTGATATTTTTAGCTTTTAAAAGCCTAGTTCTTATACACGTAAAGCTTTTATTTGAGGGAGAAAACTTTGATCTCAGGCTTAGTTTTGACAGAGCAGAGACAGAAACATTCTCCATGTAAAAGTGAATGGTAAACACAAAACAAAACAAATAATTGGGAAAAAAGCACACTGCTCCATTTACTCCATGTAGGATTTAGTTCATAGTTGTAGACAGAATTTTTAATATTTTGAATATGTGTATGGCCTCTAATAATGTGGATGCATAAATGAAACGTTTATAGGCACACATCTTCAGTTATGTGTTTATAAATTTTGAATGAAATGTTTTATTTTCTTTGTAAATTCCTTGAGAAAATAATTATCTTGGGGGGTTATTATTCTACTTGGTTGATGCTGGAGATGGTTTAAACTATTATTTACATATTTCCTCTTCTTTTTCTGGCACAGAAGTCTTCTTCTTGGGCACATACGTCATGCTGGATAAAGAAGGTTTTCTAAATGTAGATAACCTTCTCCTAAAGTTTCCTCCCGAAAAGAAATATAGGAGAGGGTCAAAACAACAGTTTGATGCAGCCAGCGACAAAGTTATGACCACTGACTTCTGCATTCTAAGGACAGCATCGCAGGGTTGTGCTTCATTATGTAAAAAGTGAAGGTGGATGGTGCGTTGAATATGATAAGGCATGAAGCTGATCAAAAAGGCAGCTGTAACAACGATGATCATTCCAATAGCTTTTTTACGACTTGACAAATTTTTCTTCATTGAATTTTTCAGTAAAGTAAAAATGATCATTGTATAACAGACCACAATGATAACAAAAGGAATAATGAAACCAAAAAACAATGACACATAATGCAAGACCAAGACATATTTTTTAGCCTGGCTATCTTTTGGAGGCTCAAAGCACTTGGTATTGTTTTTCTCATCCTTGTAAGAGTTGCGCATTAAAAATGGAGAACTGGTTAAAATCACAAAAATCCAAATGCAAACACACACAAGCCTGGCTTTTTTTTGTGTAATCAAATTAATGTTTTGGACAGGGAAAACAATTGCAACACATCTGAAGAAGCTCATGGCTGTCATAAAGAAGATGCTACAGTAGAGGTTTACATACAATGCATAAGTACTGAGGCGGCACAAAAAATCACCAAAAAACCAAATGCCTTTATGAACATAATAGACTACACGGAGAGGCAGTGTGCATACACATAGTAGATCGGCCACTGCTAAATTAATCATGTACACTTGGAAGGCTGACTTTTCATGATATGTTTTTATGAGCACATAAAGCACAAATCCATTGCCAAAGAAGCCCACAATGGAGATCACAGAATACAAGGTGGAATATACTTGATTGCGGAAGTCATCAATAGTGTCATGGCATTTGTTATTAGCGGAAGCCACTGTCATATTTATGAAGCCATCCATATTTCCTTAAGAATATCTGCTTGGTGTTGTGCCTACAATATACAAAAAATCTTGTTAATTTTGAGCAGACCATAAATTACAGGAATTCCTAACATTTTCTTTCGGAGTGTCATTATGCATGCTGAAAAACACAACAGAAAACATTACTTCCAATTTCTGCACTATATCTCAGTTTGCTTTCCAGTTATCTGCCTCTCCCACTGGTGATTTTCTGAACTCAAGTGAAATTATGGTACTATAATTAATCCATTCTTTTAAAAATAGTTCTACTGGCATATAATTCACATGTCATACAATTTAATAGCTTAATCATATTTAGAAGAGTTGTCTAATCATAACCACAGTCAATTTCAGAACATATTCTTCTTTATAGTACTCATTGTTGTTAGCTCCTCATTTACCCCCTGATGACTTCTGTCATGTCCCTAGGTAATTCAGTTACTGTATATTTCATATACAGAAAATCCTATAAAACACAAATAAGAAACAAACAAAGCAACCAATAATAATGACAATGAGGAGAAATTATTAAAAACTGAAACATCTTTAAAACAGGTCAAAAGGGAGATCAAATGATAAGTTGTTACATTTTAACTTAACTACATCTATCATAATCAACCCCACAATGCTCTATCTGACGGCAAGTCTATCACACAAAGAAAAGTGATCCAACAGAATCTTCAAATTATAGAACAGTATCATTGGTATTGCATGCAAGTAAAATTTGCTCAAGATCATCCAACAATGGTTATATCAGGACATTGACAGGGAACTGCCAGAGGTTCAGGCCAGATTCAGAAGAGCATGTAGAACAAGGGATATAATTGCGGGTATCAGTTGGATCTTGGCTGAAAGCAGAGAACACCAGAAAGATGTTTACTTCTGTTTCACTGACTGTGCAAAGGCCCTCGTCTCTGTGGATTATAGCAAAAAACAGATAACCTTGAGAAGAATCAGACTTCCAGAACATTTCTTTGTGCACATGTAGAACCTATACATAGATCAAGGGGCAGTTGTGCATACACTGCGGGGTTTAAAATGAGGAAAGTTGTGTGTCAGGGTTGTATCCTGTCACCATACTTGTTTAATCTGTATGTTGAGCAACTCATCAGAGAAACTGGATTATATGAAGAAGAATGTGGCATCAGGACTGGAAGAAGGCTTATTAGTAACCTTTGAGATATAGACGACAGAATATTGCTTGCTCAAAGTGAGGAGGATTTGAAGCACTTGCAGATGAAGCTCAAGGATTGCAGCCTTCAGTATGGATTACAACTCAATGTTCACAACTGGAGCAATAGGTGACATCATGATAAGTGGAGAAAAGCTTGAATTTATTAAAGATTTTGCCTTGCATGGATCCATAATCAATGAGCATGGAAGCAGCAGTCAAGAGATAAAAGGACAGGCTGCATTGGGTAAATCTGCTGTACAAGACCTCTTTAGAGTAATGAAAAGCAAGGATGTTACTTTAAGGACTAAGGTACACCTGATCCAACCCATGGTATTGTCTATGGCCTCATATGCATGGGAAAGTTAGATATTGAATAAAGACGGTCAAAGAAGAATTGATGCATTTGAATTGTGGTGCTGGGGAAGAATATCGAAAGTATTGACTGGTAAAAGGACAAACAAATCTGTTTTGGAAGAAGTACAGCCAGTAAGAAGTAAAGGCAAGGATGGCAAGACTTTGTCTTACACACTTCGCATATATTGTCAGGAGAGACCAGTCCCTGGAGAAGGATATCATGCTTGGTAAATTGAAGAAAAAGGAAGGTCCTTAAGGAGATGGATTGACACAGTGCCTGCAACAATGGGCTCAGACGTAAGAACAATTGTGAGGATGGCAAAGGGCCATGCTGTGTTTCGTTCTGTTGCGCATAGGGTAGCTATGTGTTTGAACTGACTTGATGGCAGCTAACAACAACATACTGTTGACACAGATTAATCATTTGTTTGTTTTATTTAAATATGTTAATATTATAAGTAATCTTTTAATTCTCAGTTCTTTGAATGCAAGATGCTAAATAAAAGTAACACATAACAATAAAAACATTTAAAAAGTGACATATTATCTTGTCTTGTATACTCCCTAACCCCTACTGACCAAAATAAGATTTTCTAGAAATTTTCATATTTTAGGTTCAATTGCTTATTTACAACTATAAATCTCATTATATTAGACTATGAAAAGAAGGTTATGAAACTTTCAAACAAGTAATGAATTCTAGAGGAGCAGAGATCATGCAGTAAGCCACTTGTTGGCTTTACCTGTCTTAAACAATATTTAATTCAATTTTTCTAAATATAAAGAGATCCTCCCACAGTCTGACCTACATAAAGTGGGTATTAAATAAAAAACCAAACAAACCCACTGCCGTTCAGCTGATTCAGAACCATAGCGACCCTATAGGATAGAGTAGAATGGCCCCTTTGGGCTTTTAACACTAAATATTTACAGGAGCAGACAACCTCATCTTTCTGCTGACCTTTGGAACTACACCCCCAGGGACCCTCCTCTGCATTGAAACAGCTCTAATCTGGCGGAGGAAAGCAATGACAGCATAGTACACGGGAAGGGTTACAATACAATGTGGTAAGAGACATTTTAAAACAAAACAAAAGAGTCATGAATTAATTAACACAAACAAGTATAAACACAAGTGGAACGAATTTTGCTTTAGTGCAGATGATGAAGCTTTTTTTTTGATGAAGTTGGTAGAAATCGGAAAAGACAGGATTCATTTTGAATATGCAGCCATACCTTTTGCTGCTACTGCAATCTCCTTCACAATTATTCTTCGTTAGTGGTCAGTGATCCTTCTGGAACAATATCAGAAGAAGTCCACGCTGAAATCATAAGATTAAAAAGGAAGATAAAGCGTTTAGGAACAATTCAGAAGGGTCATGGGAGCTTAATAGCCTTAAGCATCAATCCAGGGTGTAAGATGGGAGATCAAAGCTTTACTGACAGATTTATGGTTAGTTATTGGATTATATACCCCCTTCCTTTTCCTCCCACCATTTTTATATTATTCTCATGGGAAAAACTCGAAATACAATTGAAGATTGATACTTGCTGTTGTGTGCACATAACTTCCATACCCAAAGATGAACACAGTATTATCAACCTATGAAATAATATTTCCCTGATTTTCTCTTGTAATCAGTTTGTTATGAAGGTCAAAGGGGAAATAACTTGGAAGTTCGTATCTAAGGCTCTACTCATGAGGAAAAGAGTTATAAAATGAAAAAGATGAAGTATATATGTCTGGGATGGCTTAGGTTCAGATTTGTTTGAAGGAAGGATAGCTCAGGACCCTGGACTCTTCTCCTTATAAACTCTTAATAAGCCCAATGCCATCAAGTTGATTCTGACTGAAAGCAGTCCTGCAAGACAGATAGAACTATTCCTCGGCGTTTCTCACACCGTCAGTCCTCACGGCTCATCTTTCCCCTGTGGGACAGTTGGTGACTTCCAAAAGCTGACCTTGTACTTTGTAGCCAAATGCTTACCCTGTGGCACTACCAGGGCTCCTATAAACTCATAATAGCACCTGTCATTTGTGTCATTGATTTGGCATACATCATGACAACCACCAGTGGCTGCCAGTTTGTCAAATTATGGTGGCCTATGAATTACTGTGATGCTGGAAGTATTTGAAATGCTAGCAGGGTCATCCTTGGTGATGAGCTTTCAGTGGGGCTTCCAGACTAAGAACTCTGAATAGCAGCAGAACACTGTCAGGCAGAGGGCCAGAAGATGTGCCCCTCAGGTTGGAAGGCACGCAAAATACTGCTGAGGAAGAAGTGACTTCTGAAAGTAGAGAGGGCTCTAATAACATGAGTGGAGTAAAGCTTTAGGGACCTTCATTTACTGGTGGGGCAACAATAAAAATGAGAAGAAAGAATTGCAAGCATTCATCAATAAGTAGAATATGCGATGTACAAAATATGAGTCTTAAAAAATTGGAAGTCTACAAAAATGAAATGGAACACATACACATGATATCCTAGGCCTTAGTAAGCTAAAGTGGAATGGTATTGGACATTTCGAATTGGATAGTCATGGCTTACTATGCCAGGAATGACAAACTCAAGAGGATTTGGATCACATTCATCATCAAAAAGAACATTTCAAGATCTGTCTTGGCATGAAGGTTGTCTGTGATTGGATACATATATATATACAAGGAAATTAGGTTAATACAACTATTATTCAAATTTACACACGTACCACTAAAGCTAGCAATGAAGAAATTGAAGAATTCTACCAATATCTTCAGACTGAAATGGATCAAATATGCAAGCAAGATGCACTGATAATTACTGGTGATTGGAAGGCAAATGTTGGAAACAAAGAGGAAGGAATGGTAGTAGGAAATATAAATGAAGCTGAAAATCATATGATAGGATTTTGCAAGACCAAAGTTCTTCATTGCAAATATGTTTTCCCACAAATAAATGCCTGCTATACATGTGTACCTTTCTATATGGAATATACATGAATCAAGTTGACTATATCTGTGGAAAGAGATGATGAAGAGGCTCAATATCAGCAACCAAAATAAGGCCAGAAACTTACTGTGGAAAAGATATTATTTACTCAGAGTTAAATTCAAATTAAAGATGTTGAATACTAAAACCTGTCCACAGAGACAAAATGAAACCTTGAACATATCCCATCAGAATTTAGAGACCATATCAAGAACAGATTTGACACATTGAACACTCATGACAAACTGGATGAACTGTGGAATGCCATCAAGAACATCATATGCGAAGAAAGCAAATGATCATTAAAAAGACAGGAAATAAAAAAGATACCAAAGTGGATATCAGAAGAGATTCTGAAACTTGCTCTTGAATACAGAGAAGCTAAAAGGAATGGAAGAAATTATTAAATAAAGGAGCTGAACAGAAAATTTTGAAGAACAGCTCAGGAAGTCAAATTAGAGTTGTATAATGAAATGTACTGTATATACTCATTTGTATACGCCGAGTTTTTCAGCACATTTTTTTATGGCTTAACTTATTTTAATGAAAAAAGTACAAAGAACTCATATCCAATAACTGATGAATCAACAAAATACTGTGCTATGTTCATATAAACAAATCTCCAACCCCCCGGCTGTCTAGTTGCTTCAGATAAATAGTTACCACATACAACACAGTGGAACTCTCCCATTTTATTTCCAAAGCTTTAAATATTTATGGAAGCAGAATGTCACATCTTTCAACAACAGAGCAGTTAGTGGATTAATTTCAACTGTGGAATTTGGTTAGCAGACAAGTGCTTCACAAACACACTACCGGGATTCTGGGTATAGTTATGAAAAAATAATAAAAATAATGAAATATGAATAGATAGAATGACATGATTGAGTCTTTAAAAGATTATACTAAGGGAAGATTCAGCACATTTTTAATGCAGTTTTTGTGGTAAAATTAGGTGCCTCGACTGATATTCGGGTCGGCTTATACTTGAGTATACTTGAGGTACTAAGTCCTGGAGTTAGAAAGCCAAAAAAGATGAACAAACTCAGCATATATTAAGCTGAAAGAACTGAGGCAAAAACTCAAGCCTTGTGTTGAAATATTGAAGAATTCTATGGGCAAAATATTGAATGATGCAGAACCATCAAAGGAAGATGGAAGGAATACACAGAGTTTGTATGTCAAGAATAATTGGTTGATGTTCAACTATTTCAAGAGGTAGCATATTACCAAGAACCAATGGTACTGAAGGAAGAAGTCCAAACTGCATTGAAGACATTGATGAAAAACAAGACTCCAGGAATTGGTGGAATACCAACTGAAATATTTCAACAAGCTGATATAGCTCCGGGAGCACTCATTTATCTGTGACAAGAAATATAGAAGCCAATACTAAAAAAGATTCATATTTGTATACATCCCAAAGAAAAGTGACCCAACAGAATGTGGAAATTATTGAACAATATTATTAATTTCACATGCAAATACAATTTTGCGGAAGACTATTCAACAGCAATCACTGCTGTACATCAACAGGGAACTGCATGAAATCTTGTCAGAAGGCAGAGAATTCTAGAAAGCTGTTTAATTACATTGACTAATGCCTTTCAAATGTGTGAACAATAACAAATTACAGATAACATTGGAAAGAATGGATTTGGGGCCTCACACTGAATCATATCCTTAATCTAAGAACAATGATTTTTTAAAAAATTTTTAAAAGCAATTTATTGACATGTAATTCATATAAACAATGAGTTCTTAAGACATGGCTCTCTATTTTTAAAAAAATCACTTTATTGGGGGCTCGTACAATTCTTATCACATTCCATACACTCATCCATTGTGTCAAGCACATTTGTACATTTGTTGCCATCATCATTCTCAAAACGTTTTCTTTCTACTTGAGCCCTTGATATCAGCTCCTCATTTCCCCCCTCCCTCCCTGCTCCCCCTCCCTCATGAACACTTGATAATTTATAAATTATTATTTTATCATATCTTACACTGTCTGAAGTCTCTCTTCACCCACTTTTCTGTTGTCTATCCCCCAGGGAGGAGGTTATATGTAGATCCTTGTAATCTGTTCCCCCTTTCTACCCCACCTTCCCTCCACCCTCCAGGTATCACCACTTTCACCACTGGTCCTGAAAGGATCATCTGTCCTGGATTTCCTGTGTTTCCAGTTCCTATCTGTACCAATGTACATCCTCTGGTCTAGCCAGATTTGTAAGGGAGAATTGGGATCATGATAGTGGGGGGAGGAAGTATTTAACTAGAGGAAAGTTGTATGTTTCATCATTGATTCCCTGCACCCTGACTGGTTCGTTTCCTCCCCACGACCCTTCTATAAGGGGATGTCCAGTTGCCTACGGATGGGCTTTGGGTATCCACTCTGCACTCACCCTCATTTACAATGATATGATCTTTTGTTCTTTGATGCCTGATACCTGATCCCTTCGACTCCTCGTGGTCACACAGGCTGTTGTGCTTCTTTCATGTGGGCTTGACATGGCTCTATTTGATACTCACTCTCATGAAGAGATCACTGGAAATATGGGTGCTAGAACACCAGCAAGTGTGGTGGAGAAACCAGATGGTACCTTGTTATCAGAAAGATTAGCACATGAGGTCTCAAAGGTTTGTCTTAAACTGAGCTGTCACCTAAATAAGATGTCTACAAAGTCCGCATGGAAGAAGCACATTAGTCTGTGCGATCCAAGAATTATAAATAATAAAACGCAAATCTGGAGGAGGGAATGGTGTCAAAGCTTAAATTGTGAACACCCGGCTTGCAGAAGGGTCTGGATGACAGTGAAAGACCCCAAAGCATCTACAGGGTCCCCATATGGATTAAGTCTCCACTGAATGTCCTCTGACCCTAGTGTAGGGATATGAATAGCCTTTTTATCAGACGAGCATTGTGGGATCGATTATGGCAGGTGTGCTGTTGTTGTTAGGTTTCATCAAGTTGATTTCGACCCAAAGAGACCTTATGCACAACAGAATGAAACATTGCTCGGTCTGGAGCCGTACTCACCATTGTTTCCATGTTTGAGCCCATTGTTGCAGCCACAGTGTCAATCCATCTCCTAGTTAGGTTAAAATGTAACACCTTATCATTTGATCTCCCTTTTGAGTCATTTTAAAGTTGCTTAAGTTTTTAATAATTTCTGCTTTCTTTTTAATTGAGAATCTTCCTGTTTTGTTTGTTTCTTATTTGTGTTTTTAATGACTTTCTGTATATGAAATCCAGAATAAGTAAATCTATAGAGACAGTAACTGGATCAATGATTCCTTAGGGATATGGCTGAGGAAATTGAGGGGAATGGGGGGCTAATAAGTATAAGAAC